CGCTCCTGAGCTGATATAGTGTTGCAAAAAATTTGCACATGACTTAGGCTGGCCATACATTATACAATTTTTGTTTTCAATCTCCTTTAGATTTACCTGTTGTGCAAGGGCCTGCCTGACTGCATACAAATTGAAAGTGTTTAAGTTTGACCTCGGATTATATGGTTTTGGTAAATCTAAAGGGAAATTATAAAAAAAAAACTTGTATACTGTTTGGCCAGCCTTATGTAAATTCCAGTACGATCACTGATAACCTACCTCCCTTGATGTGCAGTAAAAGATGTGAGAATAATTAGATCTCCATTACTGAGTCAATTTGTGACAACTGGGGATTTTGATGACCGGGTGTCAACATGACTTGTCAAGCTTGTGTATCTAAACCAAAGAATAAATATGTAATATATTGCAGTTTGCTACCTCTTAGATGTCATGGTTGCATTTGTTTCCATTTTTCAGGCTTTTTTTATTTTCACATTATGATCCCCTCAGTAAAACACTGTCCTAGACTAGAGTAACAACACTCACTCACTGTACTGTATCTACAGAGGAGCAGTGGTATGACCCTGGGACTTCAGAACCCCTCAGACTTCTCTCAACTCCATAATATATAGATAGTAAAAGGAAAGGTGCTCTATAGATCTCAACGAGAACTCTGGGAGCAGTGCCAACATAACAATTACAGAAAGCATAGGCAGTTATTAGGTCCCTTGGGTTTTGGTTGGATCTGCATTTTTTGCATTTATTAAGGTAGATATACATTGTATATTTAACAAACCAGAATGCAGCAGATTAGAGAGGATCACTGTTAGAGTTTATATTACATGAAACTATAATTAGTATTTGGCACAATGAGTGCATATAAAAACGAATAAAATACCTAGTTGACATAAATATATAATAGGGAATGGATCACCAAAATGGATGGAGGAACTAACATTCCCGTTACATGATAGATTTAAATAATATCTCCACTTGGAGAATCTGGATTGCTTTCATGCACTCTATTTGATTTAAAAGCCTTCAAAAATGCATATCCCTATCCTATGGATTGGGACTGGGGTCTGCTTCCCCTCCCAGTGGATACCGTCCCCCCTTCTCATTTCCTCTGCCTTTCCTCCACCATATTACCCTTCTGTCCTTTGCTTCGCACTCTACTTTTCCTCCTGGAAAACAGGTTGACTTGCATATTCAATTAATCTTTTACTTAACTTAATTACCCTAACAGCTGTATTCTTGTAGGGATTGAGAATTTACTGAAATTCTTGTATCCCACTGTGCACTCAAATTTCCTGTGCTTTCTCTGTATATTGTTTTGTACTGAAAACACATATAGTGCCTTGAAAAAAGTATTCATACCCCTTGAAAGTTTCCACATTTTGTCATATTACAACTAAAAACATAAATGTATTTTATTGGGATTTTATATGATAGACCAGCACAAAGTGGCACATAATTGTAAAGTGGAAGAAAAATGATAAATGTTTTTCACAATTTGTTTACAAATAAATATCTGAAAAGTGTGGTGTGCATTTGGATTCAGTCCCCTTCAGAAGTCACCGAATTAGTAAATAGAGTCCACCTGTGTGTAATTTAATCTCAGTATAAATATAGCTGTTCTGTGAAGCCCTCAGAGGTTTGTTAGAGAACACAACAGCATCATGAAGGCCAAGAAACACACCAGACAGGTCACGGATAAAGTTGTGGAGACACATACAAGGGAGGTGTGAAGGAGAATACTATAGCATGTCACTTGAGTGATAGCTCTGAGCCTGCTGACATCACATCTAAGATGGTGCCCAGTAGCAGTTTCAGCACTTTTGGATGTCTACACAAGGGAGGCTTCTACAGCGAAATGACATCCCTAAAAAACATTAAATGCCCATATAATCCTATTGGAAGATTGTTGTTGAAATGATCAGTCTGGCAACAGATTCAGTGCGGAAAATGTGTGTGGATCACAATACTAACTGTATGAGCATAAAATGCCTTTGCCAGGTAAAACATACAGCTTGTCAATATGCATGTAGTGCTTACCCCTGAAGAAGTTGCTTAGTATATTGGGTTCTCTGTTCTGAGGCCTCAACTTATTCTTGTCCCCTCTGACACTCCTGGTTAAGCAAACAGTTGCTGCAAATACTTATCAAAGTGCAAATATAAACATCCTGCATACTACTATGAAATAGTTTAGTAAAATAAATGCCAGACGGTGTGGTTACTAGGTTATACAGCTTTTTTTTCCCCATAAAGAGTTTATTGGTATAAGATAAAGTACAATCAGACTGGAATATGGTCTAACAGAGTCTGCATACAGAGCACTTGATAAAAAGATACTTGGTACATTATAACATGAACAGAGGAGAACACGATAACATATAACCTTCAATAGGAACACGGTACTATAAAAGCAGTAGCTGGAGAAGGTAATCCAGAACAGACAAACAAAAATTGATATCTCGTCAGGACCTTGCAAAAACAGCGGCTAATGCAGGGGCATATCTCTGGGCTGCTGGCGGGACTAGTTCCAGAAAACATGAAAATAGAGGAGAAGAAAGAAGAGAAGGGGAATAGAAAAAAAAGGGGGTGGGGAGGGAAGTGGAGAAAGGGGAAGGGGGAGAAAAGAGAAAAAAAAAGGGGGGGGTGAGAGTATGGAAGCAATAGATTAGAGTTAGGGATAGAAGTTGTGGCTGTAGATAGAACCTATAGGTGCAAGCATTCTCCTATCCCCTGCGGATATGTGCATATTTGTCTGACAGGAAAGAGTGTATCTGAGGAGAACTCAGGGAGCCAAGGCAACATAGGAGGTTTAAGGCATGTTTACAGTGAATGCTTTACTTTTTGTGGGTAGAGGTCTAGGTAGCCCAATGTCGTCTTGAAGTGGGTCCAACCGTACCAGGTGGCGGAAAACTTTCTCTAGATATTGCTAGATATTGCTATGAGTTCATCCATCTCCTCCATTTTGTAAAGTCTCCAGAACCATCCCTCCAATGACGGTGTTTTGGTAGAGTGTTAGTGACAAGGAATACATTGTCTCACTGCCAGGATCATATACATGGTCAGACCAGAGGTGTGTGACTGAAGCAGGGAAACGCAGACCTCAGATATGTTATAAACAATATAATTTATTAACACTAACAGTACAAACATAAACGCAGTGCAATACTAAAACATAATACGGTGCAAACAAACCAAACCAAACCACCCACAGATAACAGTATATACACAAAAGCATCGTCAGGCAGGCCGGGTCAATATCAATTGGGCAGGTAGGTACAGGGGGAGCAAGCGGAGAATGGTCGGGGTCACAGGCCAGGTTCAGCAGGTAGCAAGCAGCATAGTACAGAGGGTCAGACAGAGGGATGGTCCGGGTCACAAGCCAGGGATCAGAACAGGTAGCAAGCAGCGTAGTACAGAGGGTCAGACAGAGGGATGGTCAGGGTCACAAGCCAGGATCAGAGCAGGAGAAGTCAGCAAAGGAACAGAAACAGGATGCAGGACAGATACAGGGCCCAGGACAAACACAACACCAAGGCAGAGTCTGCAAGTCTGGCCATCCCTTAAATACACCAGTATCATCAGTTCCAGGTGTTAGCTGGCTGAAAGGTTGAGTCTCTGATTGCTGGGAGCACCCGCTGGCCAGCCCTGGTACTGCAGATCAAAAGGCAGGTGAGTCCCACCATTGCTGGCCAGTCCATTCCTAACAGTACCCCCCCCTCAAGGAGCGGCCTCAGGACGCTCCAAACAGTCCTAGCTGGGCAAAATGTTCCACCGCCCGGGTCTGGCTGGGGATATCAAAGACTGGCACACCGGGCAGGACTCCGGGCAGCGGCACACCGGGGACTCCGGGGAGGCACCGGGCAGAGGCACATCGGCAGAGGCACACCGGGCAGAGGCACATCGGGCAGGACTCCGGGCAGAGGCACATCGGGCAGAGGCACATCGGGCAGGACTCCGGGCAGAGGCACATCGGGCAGGACTCCGGGCAGAGGCACATCGGGGGCAGGACTCCGGGCAGAGGCACATCGGGCAGGACTCCGGGCAGAGGCACATCGGGCAGGACTCCGGGCAGAGGCACATCGGGCAGGACTCCGGGCAGAGGCACATCGGGCAGGACTCCGGGCAGAGGCACATCGGGCAGGACTCCGGGCAGAGGCACATCGGGCAGGACTCCGGGCAGAGGCACATCGGGCAGGACTCCGGGCAGAGGCACATCGGCAGGACTCCGGGCGAGGCACATCAGCCAGGCGCAGGCAGGCGGGCCACCAGGCGGGGGCAGCAGCAGGCACCGGGCCCCCGGGCGGGCAGCAGGCACCGGGCCCCCGGGCGGAGCAGCAGGCACCGGGCCCCTGGGCGGGAGCAGCAGGCACCGGGCCCCCGGGGGAGCAGCAGGCACCGGGCCCCCGGGCGGGGCGACAGGCACCGGGCCCCCCCCAGGGCGGGGGCGCGACAGGCACCGGGCCCCCAGGCGGGGCGACAGGCATCGGGCCCCCAGGCGGGGCGACAGGCATCGTGCCCCCAGGCGACAGGCGGCGGGCGCGGGGCGGACCCCCAGGCGGAGCGACAGGTCTCGGGCCCTCAGGCGGAGCGGCGGGCGCCGGACCCCCAGGTGGAGCGACAGGTCTCGGGCCCTCAGGCGGAGCGGCAGGCGCCGGACCCCCAGGACCCCCAGGAGCGACAGGTCTCGGGCCCTCAGGCGGAGCGGCGGGCGCCGGACCCCCAGGAGGAGCGACAGGTCTCGGGCCCTCAGGCGGAGCGGCGGGCGCCGGACCCCCAGGCGGAGCGACAGGTCTCGGGCCCTCAGGCGGGAGCGGCGGGCGCCGGACCCCCAGGAGGAGCGACAGGTCTCGGGCCCTCAGGCGGAGCGGCGGGCGCCGGACCCCCAGGAGGAGCGACAGGTCTCGGGCCCTCAGGCGGAGCGGCGGGGGCGCCGGACCCCCAGGCGGGAGCGACAGGTCTCGGGCCCTCAGGCGGAGCGGCGGGCGCCGGACCCCCAGGAGGAGCGACAGGTCTCGGGCCCTCAGGCGGAGCGGCGGGCGCCGGACCCCCAGATGGAGCGACAGGTCTCGGGCCCTCAGGCGGAGCGGCGGGCGCCGGACCCCCAGGTGGAGCGACAGGTCTCGGGCCCTCAGGCGGAGCGGCGGGCGCCGGACCCCCAGGAGGAGCGACAGGTCTCGGGCCCTCAAGCGGAGTGGCAGGTGCCGGACCCCCAGGCGGAGCGACAGGTCTCGGGCCCTCAGGCGGAGCGACAGGTCTCAGGCCCCCAGGCGGGGCGGCGGGCGCCGGGATCCCCAGGCGGAGCGGCGGGCGCTGGACCCCCAAGCGGAGCAACAGGTCTCGGGCCCCCAGGCGGAGCGGCGGGCACCGAGACACCAGGCACGACAGTGGGCTCCGAGTCAACTGGTATGACCGCGGGCACTGGGTCAGACATTGGATCGTCTGGCTGGACAGCGGGCATCGGGTCACCAGGCATCAAGTCATTTGGCTCGACAGCGAGCACCGCGTCATCTGGCAAGGCAGTGGGCTCCGAGTCAACTGGCATGACCGCGGGCACCGGGGCAGACATTGAATCGTCTGGCTGGACAGCGGGGCATCGGGTCACCAGGCATCAGGTCATTTGGCTCGACAGCGGGCACCGCGTCATCTGGCAAGGCAGTGGTCTCCGAGTCAACAGGCACGACAGTGGGCACCGGGTCATCAGGTACCGGATTGTCTGGCTCGACAGCGGGCATCGGGTCATCAGGTATGACAGCGGACACTAGGTCACCAGCCAGCGGGCACCGCGTCATCTGGCAACAAATCTGTCCATGTCTGCAGTAGGGGTTGAACAAAGCTGAGCTTACACAAAGTCTGTCTGGTCAATGACTGCACTGCGTTTATACAATCTCTTAGTGTCTGTGGTGAACATGTGGAATAACGCTCCAGAAAGTAAACCCACATCATCCTCTAATAACCACACCAGGGACTCTACCTGGTCTGCACTAAATGGTGGCAAAAATTCATCCCTGCATTCGGGGGAACCAGATGAAACCAACTCAGCACAAACCTCAATCAATGGCTGCACCTCAGAGAACACTGTGCCCTGATCTACTAGAACATGAGCGAGCCGTATACATTCTAGCAATTCATCCCGGGTATACTCCTTCAGAGTTTGATAAGCATACTCCCTGTCATCAAACACTAGCAGTTATAAATACTCAACCTCCTCAAGATCCATCCTTCCCATCAACAAGCCAAGATGGCTTCCCTGTGCAGCCACTTCTGGTCAGGATTGGCCTTGGTGTAATGTCAGGGCTCCCAGGTATGACCAGAGGTGTGTGACTGAAGCAGGGAAACGCAGACCTCAGATATGTTATAAACAATATAATTTATTAACACTAACAGTACAAACATAAACGCAGTGCAATACTAAAACATAATACGGTGCAAACAAACCAAACCAAACCACCCACAGATAACAGTATATACAAGCAAGCGTCGTCAGGCAGGCCGGGTCAATATCAATTGGGCAGGTAGGTACAGGGGGAGCAAGCGGAGAATGGTCGGGGTCACAGGCCAGGTTCAGCAGGTAGCAAGCAGCATAGTACAGAGGGTCAGACAGAGGGATGGTCCGGGTCACAAGCCAGGGATCAGAACAGGTAGCAAGCAGCGTAGTACAGAGGGTCAGACAGAGGGATGGTCAGGGTCACAAGCCAGGATCAGAGCAGGAGAAGTCAGCAAAGGAACAGAAACAGGATGCAGGACAGATACAGGGCCCAGGACAAACACAACACCAAGGCAGAGTCTGCAAGTCTGGCCATCCCATCCCTTAAATACACCAGTATCATCAGTTCCAGGTGTTAGCTGGCTGAAAGGTTGAGTCTCTGATTGCTGGGAGCACCCGCTGGCCAGCCCTGGTACTGCAGATCAAAAGGCAGGTGAGTCCCACCATTGCTGGCCAGTCCATTCCTAACACCCAGTCTTCAGGAGAGAGAGAAGTACCTAAGCCTCATTCCCAAATGATGCACGATTTGTTTCGGTGTGCAGTTATATTACCAAAAAGGAAGGAATAGAGGGTAGAAATCACGTCTCTGTGGATGTTTTTTGTTGCAAAGTGTCTCTAAGGGTTTGAGAGGCCTAGACCAAATAGTGCTCGGTCCTTGAGAGAGTAGAAAGTGTTGTATTTGTGCATAGATCCAAACGATAAGGCATAAGGGGCGAGAGAACTATTTAGCGTGTGAAGGGGAGAGGTGAAAGAACTGCAACGCCCGAATATCGCAATGTGGCCAGGACTTTTGCAGAGAAGCCGAAGACATTCCCAGGATGAAGGCCGGGTTGAGGTGCAAGGGTGTCATACGGCCTACAGTAACAGAGCTAGAATGGGTCTCATGGGTCAAGAGGCAGGCTTCGAATGTGGGGCCAATGAAAGTGTGCAATTTGGATTCTGTTGACAGGTGTTTGCGATGAAGCCATGGACTGTTGCATAGCGGTTGTGGGGTCTGGGCTTGCTCTAGGTGGACCCATCCTTTGATCGTGTCATGAATGTGCCAGTCTACTACACGAGAGAGTAGGCAAGCCCAATGGCATTGGCAGATATCAGGCAGGCCTATGCCACCTCTATTTTTAGGTAGAGCGAGTCGAGAGTAGCGAATTCTAGGGGGTTTGCCCTGCCAAATAAAGGTAGAGCAAATATGTCTGAAGGTGCTAAAAAAGGTAGGAGGAAGATAGATGGGAATAGTTTGCATAAGGTAAAGGTAACCAGGTATAGTTTGCACAAGGTAATCATTTTTATGAGAACACAGCTCTTCCAAACCAGGATATTCGCAAGTTCGCCCAGGACCCAAGGTCCTTACGCATGTGATCCAAAGCTGTTAGAAAGTTCCGGGGGTATAGGTCTGTCAAGTGTACTGGGATTTGGAAGCCCAAGTAGGTATTCGCATCGGTCGCCCAGGTAAAAGGGAAATTGGATCTGCAGATGGCAGCTATGGAATCAGGAAGGGTTATATTAAGGTCCAAGGATTTTGTATAGTCTATCTTCAAATTAGAGATATGGTGAAACTGCTCTAGGTCCCGCAGAAGGTTGGGAATAGAAATGAGAGAGTCAAATAGGTAAAGAAGTATGTCATCTGCAAACGCATAAAGTTTGTAGATGCGATCCTTGACCTTGATGCCCTTTATGTCCAGGTTGTGACGGAGTCTATTTAAGAAGGGTTCCAGGGTCAGGACAAAAAAGCAATGGAGAGATGGGACAACCCTGCCATGTACCGTTGCAGAGTTCGAAGGTGCTTGACAAGTGGTCGTTGACTCTCACCCTAGCTACGGGGCAGCGGCTGTTTAGAAAGTAGAATAGATACGCCCTTTGTTTTGGACACCGCATTGGAGGAATGGTAGACTAGGGGGTAAAAACCATCCTGCAACTTAGGGATAGCTCCAGTTTTAAACTTTGTCTCTTGTAGCAAAGCAACATGTGCTGTGAGACGAATGGACTCTCTAAGGATTAGGTTATACAACTTGTTCTAGAGCCCCACACCACAAAAACAAAATTAACCCAGCAACAATTAGTAGACTGTAAGAGCAATGATAATTGGTACCACAGTAACTTCTCTGCAGCTAGTAGTCCATAACTCCTTAAGAGTGCATTTTATATGGTATATATACATATATTACTGTGCAAAAGCTTTAGGCAGTCTTGAAGAAATGCTGTGAAGGTGCTAATGATCATCAATTTCATATGTAGGTTGAAACACAGTCATTAATTGAAACAGAAAAATCTGTGTAGAAGGCTTTAAACTGGGTGATGAACTGCCACTAAGGTGAGATTGTGGAAAACAGTTTTGTGTCACAAGTCATACACTATGGCAAGACTGAGCACAGCATCAAGACACAAGTTAGCTATACTGCAGTGGTCTTCATGGAAGAATTGAAGCCAAAAAGCCATTAGTCAGCCGTGCAAAGAAGGCTAGGTGACTCAACTATTCACAAAATGGGGTGCAGAAAAATGGCAGCAGGTGCTGTGGTCTGATGAGTCAAAAATTTAAATATTTGACTGTAGTAGGAGGCAGTTTCTTCGCCAAAGTGCTGGAAAGTGGTATAGTAATGAGTGTCTGCAAGCAATGTGAAGAATGGTGAAGGTTTCTTGCAAGTTTGGGGTTTTATTTATTCAAATTAAGTTGGAGATATGGTGAGGAGCAATGTTGTCCTTAATGTTGAGAAATATTGTACAAGCAGATACTTATCCATCAAGCCATACCATCAGGGAGGTGTGTGATTGGCCCCAAATTTATTCTGCAGCAGGACAATGACCCCAAACATACAGTCAATGTCACTAAGAACTATCTTCAGTGTAAAGAAGAACAAGGAGTCCTGGAAGTGACAGTTTGGCCCCCACAGAGCACTGATCTCAACAACATCAAGTCTGTCTGGGATGACATGAAGAGACAGAAGGATTTGATGCAGCCTATATCTACAGTATAGAAGATCTGCGGTTAGTTCTCCAAGATGTTTGGCACACCCTTCCTGCCAAGTTCCTTTAAAAATTTAGTACTGTGAGCTATGTGAGCATAGTTATGCACATTTTCAGGCAAAGGTACCAGACCAGAGAGGTAGTGACAAACAGTGCTGTGTTTGTTGGTGCTATTTACAAATCTATTCAGAGGTGCTGTATAGTATTCCACAAAAGAACTTCAAAACAAATTCCTAGCCCTGTTCCAGCACTCACTACACAAATACAAGTTCTGACTATCAGGCTGAGCAAGCTTAATGCTTCTCAGTCTCCACAGATGCAGTTTTTCAGCTTACACGGGGCAAGTGAAACTCCCTGTCAGTGCTATGTATCACTACGTAGTCCAGATTGGCCCCTGCATACTGTCGATGAGGTCCTAAAGTCCTGTCCATGGCCCTCTGAAATGTCACAGGGGCATTTTGTAACCCAAAAGGCATCTTTTTATATTGAAGCAAACCTTCAGGGGTCACAAATGCAGTCTTTCCTTTCAGTCAGGGGGATATGCCAATATTCTTTTGTCAAGTCCAGAGTGATCAGATAATGGGCCTTTTCAAGTCTGTCATAGGGTAGGTGTCAAGTTTTGTCTCTGATTTAAGCTTTCTGAAGTCATTATAAAACTTCCACATACTGTCTGGTTTTGGAACTAAAATGATGGGACTAGACCATTCACTATTGGACTCCTCAATGATGTCTAGTTCCAGCACCCTCTTAACTTCGTCATTGATGTATTTTATCCTAGGTTCAGAAATTTGGTATGGTTTGAGTTTGACACTGACCCCAGGCTCAGTAACAATATCATGCCGAACCACTGATGTCATGCCAGGTCACTCTGAAAATATTTCTCTGCTCCCTACCAGGAACTCTCTAGTGTGTTTGGAATTGTAACCTTAGGGACCAGAGTACACTCAGGCATTTTAGGGGCAGATTCCACAGTTAGTGCCATCCTATCCTTCCAGGGCTTTAACATGTTTACATGGTATAACTGCTTAGGCTTTCTTTTACCCAGTTGATGCACTTTGTAATTCACCTCCCCGACTATTTCAACCACTTCGAAGGGACCCTGCCACTTAGCTA